TACCAGTAACACAGTGTATACCACGCTCATGAGCGCTGCGCTTCCAGATAAGTACCAGACGTGGATCAGAACTGTGAAGTGAAGAGGTGTGAGTAGCATGCTGGTACTCCTAGCTACTTGTACTTAAATAAAAATTTCAGCTGAAGAGTCACTGAGGGACAAAGCACTGCAGTGGCACGCAGGTGACCTGGTCTGAATTCCTGATTGTCCCCTTGGTTTGCTTATCGACCTTGGGTAAATACCTTCCCTTGTTGTTTTAGAGAGAGTTAAGTGTCGACTTTGTTAGCAAAACCCTTGGAGATGATCTTAGGAGAAGTGCTTTGTCAGAGAGGAAGGGGGGGTGTTGTTGGGACGTAGAGACAGAGGTTCCCTCTGTGAATGTTTTAGGTATTATTTTTAGCGGTCCCACTACTGCGATACGTTTCACACGTACTTGGCACCACGGAAGACCGTGCTTAATTTGTGACAGCAGTTCACAGGCGACTGAATATTAGCATCCTTTGAGGGTTCTGTCTGGTGAATGTGCAGAAAAAGTCAAAGGGCTTGAGCTCACCAGGTGCCTCATGCAGTAGCTTTAACGTGCTCGGAGAAAGATAGGAAGTTACGTTCATTTCTATTCTAAGAAACTCTGGTTGCGTGGTCTTGCCAGGAGCACAAGAAGCTGCATTCCACTTAAAATAGGTTTTTAAACTCTTATTAGTATTAGATTTGTAGCAGTTATATTGGACACTCGATTTTAGCAAGAGTAACTCCTTTCTTTTAGAGATTCTGAAGAGTTTGTTTCTTTCTTAGCTCTGTACAAACCTGTGCTCTCTTATTTACCTATTGTTCTATCTTTTTATTTCAACAGACAAAATGAGTGAAAAGCTGAAGCTTTCCAAGACTGGCATATACTTTTAAAATCACTCCCACAAGCAGTACAGTTGTTTTGGCTTATTAATTGTATGAACCATTCAGGAAATAATGACTTGTTAATTCTTTCAAGTGTTGCAGATGATACTGTTAATTAACTATAATGGAAGTTTGACTTTATTGTAACTACGCTGATGCTCTAGCAGATGTTGATGGCTAAAAATTGCTTTTACTGTTTTTGGAAAGAGTTGTGCAACTTGAATGTACTTAGGTGCTGACTAATAAAAAAAATTTCCTATATTTTGCATGGCCTGTAGGTCTGAACATAATTAAATAAAAATACACAGCTGATAGCTTGATTTATGAAGATCTGTGGTGTTATTCCTAATGTTGTCATGCTTTTGCCTGATCTGTGAGGGGCTTGTCATCATGAGCCCAACAAGGTCAGATGCTGTGTCCAGAGAGAACCGGACTGGGGGAGCTCTGCAGAACCCGATTATATTTGCAGAACAGGGTCTCCCCAGGTCCCGGTACTGTTTAAGCCTTTGTTGAACCGCATCAGCTTGTCCATCCTGTCCTGACGTGCTCTGTGGGACCTTCCGCAACACAAAAATCATCCTGTCGGTGCAAAGGGAAGTGACTTTCCGTAGTGTGAATTCCACTGCAGGCAGTCTCTCTCCCCTTCAGCTGTGGTTCTCTGGTGCACAGGCTCTTCAGCTGTTTTTAGTAGCCTTATGAAAGGTGACCGAGAGCATAGAATAGAATATTTCAGTTGGAAGGGACCTTCCACTTTCCATCTTCCCTGAGCACTTCACGGCGGACCAGAAATTACAGCATGTTCTTAAGGGCATTGTCCAGATGCCTCTTGAACGCTGCTAGGCTTGGGGCATTGACCGCCTTGCTAGGAAGCCTGTTCCTGTGGCTCACTGCTGCGTGCACAGCTGTAGACTATGGTGCTTTGTTCATCAGAAATCAGGAGTTGTATTAGGAGGTGTGATAATACAGGCTTTTCCCCCCAGCGGATGGGAGGGAAGCGATGGGATAGCAGTGAGGTTAGAAAAGGGATGGTTTTCCTTTTATAGATTTTGAAGTTGCCTTCAACAGAAAGTTTACAACTAATTTCTATAGAGCAGAGGTTCATTTATTTTGTCAGGTTGTGCTGCGACCGTGTATTGAATTCAGGCATGTTTTGGGAGCACCCCAGAAAAAGAGAAGGATTTACAGAGTCAAGACCAGTGGATGGCTGCACATGAAGCTGAGAGGCCCCATTCTTCACTGCACAAAATTCCTTCTAATGCCAGGGAGAACTTTAGATGGGAGAAGAAGGTACGATCAGAGCGTCAGGTCAGAGCGCCATTTCCAGATACGTGCAATGTCGCCTGCAGTATTTGCGCACCGGTTATGCAAACTGTTCCTGAGAGAGCTTTCTGGAGCTCTATCTCCCTGCGCAGAGGCTGGCGAAGTGTCATAACCTACTTACCTGCATCCTCTGCTTCTGCCTGGATAAGCTTTGCCTTGACCCAGTTTGTACAATGATGTTAGCAGTTATATGCCAGAATGATAAACTGGAAAAACAAGAGAGTTCCTGCAGGAAGATGTAAATAACGGCGGTCACGATACCTTTGAGATTTCGGAATGACGTTCCTTTAATTCTCAGAGCAGGCACTGACTCCTGATCCCGGCAGGCTTTCTTTATATAACAGCCACCCACAAGTAAAGACAAAAGGATCCTTACAGGTGTAATTTTGCATAGCCTTCTTGACCTCAGCACTGTCCGGCTGATTATCTGCTGGCAGTGGTGTGCCCAGGTTCGCAGTGGTATATAAATTTAATCAATTGTGTTTGTTTCAATGTGTGCAAACAGATCTGGAGTGTATAATTATTTGATATCCGTGAATATTCATGGAACAATTGTCTGCTCCTGTCCTGTTTATGTCTCATCAGCTGTTCAGAACTTGCTCAGGCCCAGCCACAGAGCAGACTACTGAAATGGGGGGGTGGGGTGGGGTGTGTGTGTTAGAGTTTTAAATGAGAAAGGAGAAAGGAAAGTAGATTTGAAGAAGTCTAATTTTCTGTTATTTTGCTTTTGTTCTTCTAAATTATTTTCTTAAAAAAGCCTTGCATTTCATCTGTTTATAAACATTCAGACATCCTGGTTGCCAACAAAATAAAGCCTACGTGCCAGCTTGAATACTTTTTTTTTGCTAACTAGAAGGATATATAACTTTCTGGTCTTAGTTTAATGACACGCTAAATATATAAACACTGAAAAAGCGGTAAATGACACGTCTTACAAACTAGATGATTTAACCTGTGAAATGTGTTGAGCTGCTTTTGTGTAAGAATTGAAATTTGAGAAAAAATACAGAGACAGAATTGTTGATACTTTAAATAAGACCACCTTAACAATGCTGGAAACATTAAAATGTAGCGCCGATTCTTTTTGGAGGATTTGGGTGTTTTGTGGGATCTGTTTTTGTTTGGATTTTATCTGCTTTGTGTGTCTACTTTTTAGAGACCGGGAAGTAAACCAGCTTTTCTGCGTTCTCAGGCCCAGTCAGATTCATCACTTAGAATTGTTAAGTAGTTAAACAGAACGAAGTTAAATACATTATTCGTGCTTCTTCCGTCCTTTCATTTCTGCAGTACTGATTCCCTAGCTACAGAGCCCAAGAGATGTTTCAGCCCAACGTAGGGAATGGGTGAAATCTTTAATTCTTCTTCCTCCAGAAGTTTGCATTTAGCAAAAGGCAACTTGAAAGTGTGTAAGAGCTGACTCTTCAGATGAGAGGCCAACATGCTGAATTTCTTGTTCATAATCCTCTTCCGTAATCTTAATCCATTTCAGATCCGTAGCCGTTCTTAAGCATCACATGGGAGAGGATTCTTAAGGCTGCTCAAAACAACTGCGCGGTAAATAAATCAAAGGGACTGCACTCGTTGCAGAACAGTGCGCGCATTCGGTACTGCAGCTGCTGAAAGACATGGCGCTTTCTGCTGCATGCCCCAGGGAACAGCTTACTTGATTATTTAGATTCCGAGGAGGAGTTTCTGAACCTGTAATCAAGCAAATCACTTCAGAGATTATTGATCACTTTGGGTACTGAACAGAAACAATTTAAAAAGTTGAGAGCTTCTATTGTGTTTATCTTAATAAATCCCTAAGTTAGAAATTGGTGGCAAGGTAAGTTGCATTTTTGTTTTTATTTCTCTGTTCAGTGTTTTGCGTTCAGAAGTAGTTACTTGGCACCCATAGTTTGAGGTAAAATATCCTTTTTATATGTCAAGCTGTATAAAGCTGCAGGTGGGAGTTTTCTATCTGACCTCCTCCTTTTTGGCACTGCAGTAACTGTGCAGGTGCAGAGGTCGGTGCACATGTAAAATACAACAGGCTTCACCGTCTCATTTCCAGCTATGAGACGTGCCGAGTCTGATGTACACGTGGGGCAGACACGGGTATTTACTCTAGGAGTGCAAGGCAGGATCATCGCTTTCCCTAGTAACAGCTAGCATTTTTATTCTTAGGAGAAGTATTTGATTTTTTTTTTTTTTAATTAACCTGTAGCTCTTAAACTGTTGCTGTTTTTCTTTCAGCGGAACTTAAAATTTCTGTTTCCCTGTTCTTCAGTTTTTTTCCTAGTAAACTTTGAGTAGGTCTGTTGTACCCTCTCACTGCCTTCCAGATTCTGCTCCTCTCTTCCCTCAGTTGTCCAAACGTCTATAAAATTATCAAGTTAGGGGGGTTTCAGTTGTGCACGTGATATGTCGAGTGTGTTATCTTTCCTAGGAGCCCTGTTGTTTTGGAGTTAGCTTCGCGTTAGCTTCGGTGTTCCTTGCAGGACGCCTTCAATTCGCGTGGGTGGAGCACCAAATTCTGCACAGATCTGTAATGTGGACAAGCTCGGTGAGGTGATGGAATGTGTAGGATTTGACTCAAAATGCTGTCACTTGCTTTGGTTTTGAAGGAGTTAAAATAATATTTACAGTAAGCCAGGAAATTTACCTAGGCTTTTGTTGTTCTTGGTTTGGGGTGGCTGACACCCACGGATTTGTGCAAGTTTTCCTTTAACGCGTTTTATGTGGTATTGTATGGCATTATTGAACGATTCAGCAGCTTGTGTTTTAAGAGTTGCAAAAGCAAGTATATTATCCGTTGGCTTGGGAGGAATATGTGGAGTTACATGTTTCTCCTGCCTTTAGAACGCTAACTCTGGCGAACAGGGCACGTGCATCTTTTCTGCGTGTCTGCGGTCTTCTGCTGAGGCATTGAACTTTGTTGTTGTTAGTTGTCTGTGTCCATGCCCTTGAGGCCGTGGGTTTTTTGGTGGTGGTTTAGTTCTGCCTTGGTGTAAGCGCACACAGCGGGTTTTATCACCTTGCTTTACTTAGCGTGCGTATTTGCTAGCAGATGCTCTAGGCAGCAGCGTATGCTGGGGAGAGCCTCATACGAACGTGTTGCAGCTTCCCAGAGGGTGTGGGGAAAGCCTGTTTTAGAGGCCTTCTAGCTGCACCAGAGAAAACGTAAACGTCTCTGCAGGAGGAGAACGGTGGCCAAGAGCAAGATGAGAAAGGAGCATTCTAGCTGGCTCTTTCCTAGCTGCATCCTTTTGTCTCACCTGGTTGTTTAATACAGCCTGTATTTGAGATGATGCCACTGTTCAACTTCATCAACTCTTCCAGGCGGTGTCTTTATGGGCCCCTGTTCCTCTTCTTTTTCTTGGGTACAGGATTTCAGGAAGAGGAGGGGTGCACGTCACTGTTGGGTGGATGAGGAAGGGTCAGAGGTGTGGAGCAGTTGGACTGGCTCTGTTTCTTCCTCCCTCCTCCCACCCTTGAGACAGGTTTGATTCCACTGGAGTCTCTGGTTTACTGCTCTGCGCTCCTTTGCTCAGGCTGTGGCCCTCAGAAAAACCCGAGGGTAACAAAGTGAAAAAGTTCACAGTGCCAGGAATTGCTTGGGAGAGGCCTGTTGACAAGACCGTCCACAATAAGATAAATGCGTAGCTGCCGCTGCCTGTGCTTGCTTGCTGCAGGTGCTCCTACGCACACTAATACCAGACCATCTCTCCCTATGGATGGCCGAAATTTCTGTTTAAAGTAGGGCTGTCCAAATAACAAATGGTTGGTTGTTTTGCAAGGCAGGAGGGAAACGAGGAAAAGTTTTATTCTGTGTCTCCAAAGGTGCTCTCAAATCCAAGGTCACCTTTTACCAAAACAGACAGGCAGTACCCCCGAACACATCCTAAGCAAGCAAAGTACCTAACTCTGTACTTGAGCGCTTGCTTCAAATTTCTTCTTCGTTTTTTAAAAGTGATCTGGAAGTGGTTTAGTTCCTGAAAAAGGAATTTTTTTCCTCATGTTTGCATTTTAAAAGGTGTCTTTAAAGGCACTCACATCTTCTGAAAAGCTGAAGCATCCATCTTCCTTCGAAGCTGGTACCGTCAGGTTCCTACGCAGCCCTGAAGATACAGCTGGGCACGCAGGCTGTGTTGACCTCCAGCGTGGAGGAACAGTTGTCTGCGCTAACCATGTTTCAGGGTCTTGAATCTGCTCCTGTGGCCTGAACTCCCATTAGTAACCGAGTCTGTCTTCTGGTGGGAAGACTGCATCTGAAAGGGCCCCGTGCCACGCTGTTTCAGACTGCCCTGGCGGGTTGTACCAGAACATAGGAAGTGGAGGTGCTTGGGGATGATTGTTTCTAAAGCAAGCTCCCGATACAGAGCGAATCATTCGTACCTTTGCTTCTCTGGGTAGATAATACTTGGTGAAATCTCCAGGTTTGTGTCTTTGAATAGACATTTTTGTTTGCATAGCCAGATGGGAAGTATAAGTCTATACTGAGAAATTCCGAGCTTGAAAATTTGTTTTTCCTTAAATGGGATTTGCCTTGTAGAGGAGGTTACAAATAAGAGCCTTAAATGCTAAGGATTCTCATTTTTGTGTGCAATTGTCCATTTGAGTACTGAATAATCTGAGAAGTTGTCAGCCTACCTGCATTATTTAACTACAAAGGCCATATAGCCCCAGATGTAATTGGGCATAATTCAGCCGTGATTTCAGGCCATTTTTGACACTGATATGAAATTATGTTGTTAGAATACAACTAGAGTGACTGGTATTTTGTTGAGACCATTGCTACGTATCCTCCTGTTGTATCGCCCAGTTACTGCGAAGATGCAGTTGTGCAATCCGGCATCCTGGGCAAGGCAGAGAATTTCAGCATTTCATCTGCCTTAGAAACTTTCCGTGCTGAAACGTGGCTCAGCACGGCTCATCTTCCTGAGCAAACCCTGCGCACGTGCGCCTTACACAGCGCCAGACGGGCTCCTTCAATTAGCGTTTGTGCAGATCCGTAGCTATTTTGAGCGGAAAGATGTAGGTTAGGTGGAAAGAGACTGAAAGAGGCAAAAGGATTGCGGGAAGTGAGAAAAGGAGGACTTCTCCCTCTGCTGGGAAGAAGTGCCTCTGTAGTCACACTGTCCTGACCCTTCAAAGTCCTTTGAGCTGTGGTCTCCTGCCAGCACCGGGCTTGACATTTTTACAGATGTTTATTTCCTTCCCTCCCTTTCTCAGCTTTTTCCTCCCCCAGTTCTGGGTTAGAATAAAAATCTGTATAATTCTTGTGCGATACAGCCTGGGACTGCTTTGGCAGTAGTATGTGGAGTTTTGTTTTTCCTACGTGATGTTTTTTTTTCCCCAGAGGAAACGTGTCTGACTGTGAATGACATTCTGAGTGTCCTCAAAGTGAGAGATTCCAGAATTTGACCTAATCTTGAAATAGGATCCATTTGCTCTGACCAGAGCTTTCCGCAGCAGTGAGGTTACAAAAGTCTGGCTGTCCTGTCCTTTTATACTGGCCAGGATCTGAGCAACTGATGGTGTAATATGCTCCCACGCTCAAGCAGATCCACGAGGTGAAGGAAAGCGGTGTTGAACAAAGCTGATTACTTTCTCATCATAGCGAATTGTTATTTTAGACCTATCTCCCCTCTAGCTGTGGTACTGCAAATACATTCAAATACCATCTGTGTGTTCATCCCTCATAATGAGAGTCACCCTTCAGAGACGGCTATATGCATAAATATTTGTCTGCATATACTGACTGTTAATGAATCAACTTAATGACTTTTATAGTTCCTGGTGAGTATTGAAAAACTTTTACGACTACCTCCCACGTGCAGTCCTGTGCAGTATTTCAGCACCTTCGTCCAGGTGCGTCAGCTGTGCGTGAGGAAGGGGGGAGGCAGCATTTGGAGACGCAGTCGGCTCTCGGAGCTCAATCAAGATTATTTTATTGTAGCACCTGAAATGGAGGCTCAGGTCAAAGACTGCCATGTTGCTCTGAGATAGGAGCCTAAAACTAGGCATGGGAAGCATCGTGAGACTACACGAATGCCTGATGTATGCATCTACCGTACGATTATTACTTTCTCATCATAGCGAATTGTTATTTTAGACCTATCTCCCCTCTAGCTGTGGTACTGCAAATACATTCAAATACCATCTGTGTGTTCATCCCTCATAATGAGAGTCACCTCTATATGCATAGAGAGTCACGGCTATATGCATAAATATTTGTCTGCATATACTGACTGTTAATGAATCAACTTAATGACTTTTATAGTTCCTGGTGAGTATTGAAAAACTTTTACGACTACCTCCCACGTGCAGTCCTGTGCAGTATTTCAGCACCTTCGTCCAGGTGCGTCAGCTGTGCGTGAGGAAGGGGGGAGGCAGCATTTGGAGACGCAGTCGGCTCTCGGAGCTCAATCAAGATTATTTTATTGTAGCACCTGAAATGGAGGCTCAGGTCAAAGACTGCCATGTTGCTCTGAGATAGGAGCCTAAAACTAGGCATGGGAAGCATCGTGAGACTACACGAATGCCTGATGTATGCATCTACCGTACGATTACAGTATCTAGATACAATCTCTGCTATTTTTATACAATTAGGAAAGGTGCTGAAATGATTGCTATTCATATAGCTGACTTGAAATTTGAAACAGTGAGACAGAAATTCTCATCTCAGGTTGTCTAGAAGACAACAAAGTAGCTGGAAACACCTGGTAGTGAGACGTACTCGGGCACAAGACAGGCCATCTGCTTGTTGATCTTAAGTGTTAATATATTTAATTATAGATTCTTGGCACTGTGGGACATGTCGCAGCAGTTTTGATTCTGACCGAATGGTCTTTCCTGCATCTCTTCTGTGGTTTTGGTGATACTGGGCCAGTCTGCAATGTTCTAGGAGCAGTGGCTGGAGAACATGGGATCTGGTAGTTCTGTAAACGCCAACTACAAGTACTCCCTGCAGAAGTCTGAAAATGGTGAGTGATTCTTTGAAAAGTAATCTTTTCCTGTCTGCTCCTGCACATGCCGTTGGGAGGTTGCAGTGGATGTGTTTCTTCTCCGAGTTACCTGGTTTTCCTGATGGTATTGAGGCGAGGTTTTGCCTTTCAGTATCCTGTGACAAGGAGTCTCAGCTGTCAGGCAGAAGTCCAACAGGCTTCAGAAAATAACAGCTATTTAGATCAGGATTAGATTAAAATCAACCAAAACCTGACCAGAAATGAAGCAGCAAAAAGCCATTCTGTTAGAACTAACATCCGATGGATTAATTAATTGCTGGCTAACGCCTGTGTTGTCACGTGCTGACAGCGAGATAGGTGGTATCATCCTGCTGCTTCTCATGGACTCCGTTTTTAAAGGCTGTGTTAGTGGTGCAGGACTGATAAAGCAGAAGCATTAGCAAAGCCAAAATAAATCTGGTTCTAAAGAAGGTGAGATGGTGTGGCTAAGAAAAGCTGAAAAGCAAAAAGTGTGCTTTTTTCTCATTATGTCAGCGCAACGCTCTTAATCTCTGCTGATAATCTAGACTTTTTTATGGCTCTCGAAGCTGTAATGATTTATTGTCATGAAACCCTCCGTATGTTAGCATCAATTTTCTGGGGGTGTGCTGAGGTCTGCTATGGAATCAAAGGATGTTTATGAGTGAGACTTTACACATAAGGAAATGTAAAAAAGTAAACAGGTTGTTGTTTGAATCGCATAGTCATCAGCATTGGCAGAACAGCAGTACGGTGTAAACTGTTTGCAGTTGCTTTGAAAGGAAAAAAGAGTGATTGCATTTACAAATGAAGAAAGCAGGGATACGGTTGTGACTCAGCCTTTTTATTTGTCATTTCTTCTTTATTGAAGAACTGTACCTTTTTTTTTTTTAAATAAGTTAGAGTTGTCTATTGCCTATAGCACCAGAGAATTGTGGACTCCCAAAAAGTTCAGGGCTATTTTATGATAGTGGCTTGTCTATAACAAACAAAGTGTAACATAAAACTAGCTACTTATATGAAACTCTGCGTTAGATCTGATACCTCATCAACAGTTTCCCATGACAGTAAAACCTCTCTGAATTTCTTGCATCTGGTTCTCAAAATCCTTCAGATCTGCTGATCCGCAGATGTGGAGCTGCTTAGGACTTTCCACCCAAGTATAACGTGCCAGGCAGTGTCCTGTCCCCCTTCTACAAGGCCCACAGGCTGTTCCCTATGGAAAATGTAGCCAGCAGAGCTCTGTTAAACAGGCCCTGCGCTTGAGTGAAGAAGGCGATGGGGAACCCGAGAGAGGGCGCAGACTCCTTCCTGTAAGCTGATCTGAGAACTGTGCTGCTAGCATGAACAGGCGTATTTCAGTTTGAGTGCTGCCACTTTGGCATGCTTTCCGTAGCTTATATGATGATATATTATTGAGTTTACTGCTTGGATTCTCATAAAATGTGGATAAATCTCTTTCTCTTCCTTTTTTATTATTTTTTTTCTAAACTAGAACAAACACTGCCAGATGAAACTCACCCAGGTAAGCTGGTAAAGTAGAATACCTGGCTTTTTCAGTTGCAGAGTCAGTCTCTGCAAAAGTAGCATAAAAAACCCAATGCCTTGCCCACCTGGAGCTTAAAATGCTGTGGATGGTGGTATATATGCTCACTGTGCGCTTGATAACGAGTCTTTCACAGAGTTTCTTTTTAATGTTTCAAAGGATCTAGTTTTCATTGGTATATGTGGAGTCGTAACTGTGAATTTCTGCTCGAGATTCAGCTGAAATACATCTGACTCCTACCACAATAATGGGGCATTTAACCACTGTTAGGGGAATGCAAGATATTTAGAAGTTGTTTATCTGAGAGAGTGATTGTGACTGTGATTCTGGTTACATGCCAGCCAAATTACAGGGAGTCAGGCAGCTAGTGTTGGGTCTGTTATAAAGGAGGCTTGAAGACGTAGCATTAGGAGCACCAAACTGCAGGAAAAGAAGTCAGCCTTTTTTAATTTTTCATAGCCCAGCAGATCAGTAGGCATTTTCTCAACAAGATACAAGGCTCAGGCAAAGAATACATAAGTTATTCTTGAATTAAGGGTAGCCAAGTCTTACCTTCTTGCCCACGACTTCACCGTGACTCGGTTCCCCAGCTGCACAACAGCAATACCTCTTCCTTTTTCGTGCTCTGCAGCTCCTAGTGCTGTAACAGTAACATAATTTAGAAGGATTATTATTTTCAATACATAAGCCATCAGGGTATCTTCTTTAGGTAAAGGTCAATGTTTCCCGCTGAAGTACATGGAGGGTGGTTTATGTTATATAATTAATGCAAGCTAATTGAATTAACGTGATCTCTTTGTCTCTTGCCAGCACTTAGCAACCTTTGGGGTAGGGGCGGGGGATTTCCTTCTTTTTAATAAAGTTTTTCCACCCCACACCCCCCCATTGCTCTCCCTGCTTTGGTGAACACGGCAGTGCTCTCTCACAAACCAGATGCCAAGGGAATACAAGCTTCTGCAGGAGGGCCAACTCTGTAACTCTGTCGTCTCCCGTTTCATTTTGGGGCCAGCCTGTAGATAGAGCGCTCATCCTTCCCTCCCTCAGCTAAAGATGACGCAGAGAAGCATTGTTAGAAGATGTTTTAAATGTAAGGCTCTAGGGTAGGGCTCCAGCACGTAATCAAAAGAGAGATGCCAAATAGCAGAGCTGGTCGGCAAGGTGCTGTGAAGTACATAAAGTTCTGTGGCAGAACTTGAGAAAGGAAATGGGAAACTACATCAATGTACTTCACTTTAAATATGCACACAGCCCATCTGAAATAGTCTTTAATGAAAAACACTGGAATTGGGGAAATGCAGAGGAACGGTTATGTTTTAAAGATCAGGGCAAATAGCCATCATTTGGAGGTAAAAGACTGGTGCCAGTGCTGGCTGTGGATTGAACCACAGTCAGACACCTGGAAACTCCTGGCATTTCGTTCCTTCTGTGTCATTAAGTGACCAAAGATCTGTCTCCCTCTTTTCACTGTGGGTGTTAATTTTGTCTTTGTTTCATTCCAAGGTAATGGTATATTAACATTTATGCTAGAATAGATCCCTTCTGAAGTTTGTCCAGAACTGCGAAAGCTGAAGTATTTATTTGGCTTAAAGGAAGGTAGACAAACCCCAGGTGTTTAAGGCTCTGCAAGGGGACTCAGTGTCTTGTTTTCCCTCAGCTCCTCGTGCGGCCTCAGTCAAATCTCTGGTTCCCTGAAGCCCCAATACCTAGACCGTAAGACAGACATGAAAATGATCTAGGTAGATAGAAAGGGAGGAAATTGTCTATTAACACTGAAGAATGTGTTTGGATCTTTAGGCTCTAATAAGTTGTTGTTAATGCTGCTGCTAAGGAGCCAGCAGCAATGGTTAGAATTGCTTCAGAGATCTCCGGTCAGGCAGGGTCAGCTCAACCTCTTGCAATATGGTGAAAAGAAGTGGGTGTTTTGTTATTCTTAATATTTAGGCATCAGAATACCTTTCCTGAAAACTTGCTCCCGAAAAAGAAAGGTCTGTCTTCAATTTTCAGGGTCAGGAAAGGAGCGGTAGCAGGGTACCTCAGCTGCAGCCGCTGCAGCTCAGCAGGTTGGGTCTGGTTTTGTCCCCTAGCTTTCAAGGCAGCCGTCTTGATCCAACGGTGGTATCGGCGCTACGTTGCTCGGCTGGAAATGCGCCGACGTTGCACTTGGAGAATCTTTCAATCCATTGAGTACGCTTGCGAGCAGGATCAGATCAAGGTAAGGTGCCAAGGAAAAGAGTAGGTAGGAAAAGACATAGGAGGGCGGTCTCTGTGCCACAGGCTCACTTGTTTCTAGCTACTGGCTGGTAACCCTCTAAGGGCTTCAGTGGGGCAAGGACTGGGTTTCCTGCCCCTTTTTAGCTCTTGATTTCCTGACTGCTTATGTCTGATGCAACTCTAAGTAATGAGCCTTGAAAGCAAGCCATAAGGACCATTTAACATTGTTTTTCCCGAGCCTGAACACAATAGGCAAGCCAAATTGGTTTGTTTAACTTTGATTAATATTCTCTTGTACGGTTGCCTTGCTGTCAGGGAAGGAGAGGGAGGGCTTATAGGTGTACGTCAGTCTGTATGGCTGAGGGTAAAGCTACTTTTGTGACTTCATCACAAGATATTCAAAACTAGAATCGGCATAGTATGATTTGTTGTACATACCAGACAACATGAGAAGGGCATAGATAGTACTTCCAGAAAGAAGATCGTGTTAAGCTGCCACTCTGCAGAATTTCATTCCAGGGTGAATGATGATGGGCTCCCTCTCTTCTTGCAGCTTCACAACTTCTTCAGTTACCTCATGGACCACTTCACGCCAAGCAGCAGTAAAGAGAGTAAGTGTCTATGTGCCGTTTGTAGACGTGGCACCAGCAGCTCAGAAGGTTGCACCCTGTATTGATTCGTTGCCCAAGGCTGGCCCTTCAGGATGGCCAAGGGGGCCAAGAGAGTCTAAAGAGTGATGGCATCAGGAATTTGGATAGGGAGCGAATTGTCTGGCGACTGTCAGCGCTGCGTGAGGGATGTGGGGCAATTCCTGCTCCTTAGGAGCTGGAAGGGGGAATAAAACCTCAGTATGTTTTCAAAGAGCAGTATTAGAAATCTGCCTTTTTTCAGTGATCCCTGGTAAGCAGGGCTTTGCAGAGTCCATTTCTGAAGTGAGACAATCCATCTTTAGGGAACTGTGCTCTAGGGCATCTACTTTACAGTTAGCCTCTCACTTATAATTGGGGTGGGGGGGCAGAAGTGCTGTGGGAACCAATACAGTCTCTTCCTGCATCTGCAGAGAGCACTGTATGTTATTTCTTAGTGCTGGGAACTTGCTAACGAGCTTAGCTCTGAAATCTGATGGTAGTAAGTCAAAATTAACAATTTACTTTGCTGAGCATAATCTGCTGAAGTCCTCACGCCTTCCTTTGAAACTGCCACCCTTTTTCTCACAACCACCCCACATATTTTACAGCAAAGCTCTGTTGAGGAAGTTTTTTTTTCAGTGTCTGTATAAAACAGGACAATAATGTCCTGTTCCTTGAGTTGGGCTCTGAGATGTTACACCAATAAAAAAACAATGCTTATTTATACAAATGTTGTGCAACACTGAGAATGTAGGTGCAAACTTAGAAAAACCAGTGGGACGTAGGAGACGGTTCCTTGTTATACAGTTGGCTTTTGCATGTCATTGAAAATAAGATTTCAGTTAGCCACGGTAACCAATGTCCATCTGGCTCTACCAGAGTTTTGCATAAATAAGCATAGCTGCCGGTGCTGCCTGACACACAGCACACAGAAACTTGTCCCTGCAGCCTTTTCCCCACTGCAAATCCTGTAGCGGTGTCAAACTATTGCTGCCATTGCTCATGAGCTCTAGCGTAACCAAACAGCTTTTCTTTAGCGAATTACTAGAACGGTGTATTGAGCCAACTTAACTTTTTCTTGTCTCTTTCTCTTTTTTGTAAAAAAAAAAACAAACAAAAAAACCTGACCAACCTGCCACCCAGGGGATTTTATCAGTCGCATGTTCGTAAGCGGGGAAAGCTTCAAAGAGGCAGAGCTGGAAAAATACTGTGACTATGAATCCATGGAGGTGCCAGACTCCTACACTGGACCCCGTCTCTCTTTCCCACTCCTTCCTGACCATGCGACTGCCTTGCTGGAAGCTTTCAAACAGAAACAAGTAAGGATCCCCAAAGGAACCACGCTTTCCCCTTCGCTGTGCAGGGCTGTAGAATAGATAATTTGGCGTCAGCCTTCCTAACAAGCTAAGCTGATTGGAGTATAACAAACTGGCAGGCTGTTAAGCCAAGGGGGATGGAAATGATGTGGTATTTCCCCCTGCCATAGCAACTTTTTTCCTTTCTGAAAATACAGTTCTGACAAAACTGAGAACTTTTCGTAGGTGTGCGCCAATATTAACTTGAATTTCACTTTAAAAGGAAAAAACCCCGCAACAGTCCATGTTGAAACATTCTGTCATTTTTTTTGCTGCAATTCCTCAACTTGTAAAAAGGTATAGGATGGCCCAGATGGAAACAGCGTACTATAATTATGTTTTGTGGCATGTGACTTTGGCTCCTATTTAAAATGTAAAATGTGAGTTGTTTGATGAGGAAGTCCGATACCAATTCAGCAGCACTAACAAGAGAAGTCCTTGTACAACTGCAGTGTTCTGCTGCCATCCCTCAGTCAAGGTGCTGAACTGCAAAATAGGCCAAAACATCCGTTCTCCAAACTAAATGACTTTTAAAACAAAGGTCTCTAGTGTCTTGACTAATATTAAATGCCCACACCCTGGCTTTGAGCGAACATATTTCTGCAGGACACACAGCAACTCATGGCCTGGTTCAATGTAGAAAAGGCTAAGAAAGATCTAGAGGAGCAGCTCCTTACCTGTGATACTGGGCTGGGAATTCTGCCGCTCTAGGAGGTGGTGTTGCCTAGTGGATATAGCCTTGACCACAGGTGCGAGGGCTTTTGGGTTCTCTTGCCAGCCCTGCCGGTGCCGAGGCTGGGCTGCTTTGGGCGAGTCTCTTCCGTCCTGCTGTTGCCCAGTATTTGCCTCGTCTTCTTTGTAAGCCCGTAGGTCAGCATTGAGTGTTGTCCCAGTAAGAGTTTCTGCCATCCAGGCTGTTGTGGTGGGTCCCTGGGGCCTTTGCAGACAGAGCTGTGTTGCTGCTCAGAGGTCACCGATTACCTGCTTTAATCCCTTCGCTTTCTCCTAGTAGCAGCTCCACGCTCGCTACGTCTTAAACCTTCTGCATGAGACCAGGAAGCACCTCAAGCAGTTGCCAAACATCAGTCATGTCTCCACCTGCTACAGCGAGGAGGTCACCGTGTGCGGTACGTCTGGGCGGGAGGGCACTGCGCAGTCTCTGGGGCAGAAGGCTCACGTGGCAGGGGTGGGAAAGATCTAAAATGGTAGCGTGAGCACGATGCCCTCCTCTGTACTGAGCGTGGAACACAAATTCAGTCCGTACGCAAAACGTGTTGCGTTGAGAGGCAACTGGGGCTGTCTAAAATATCCGGGTTTACCCTAAGATGCTGTATTAGAGCTGCTGCAAAGACCTGCCTGAAGACTGGAGGGAGCAAGCCTGCATCACGGCCCTATTTCTGCTTAATCTGGAATGGGACGGGGGTGTTGAGGGAAGGTGGTTTGTCTATTTGCAGTCTGTGTTTGGCTTCCATGAGAGATTTTGGGATACATCACTAACAAACCCTGCCCCTAGATGGTAGCGTTCCGCTTGCATAGCCTACTGTAGTAGTGGTGCTGTCATGGCGATTATAAAAATGTAAGGAGAGGAGGAGGTATGAACAGAAAATGTAAGGATATACATTTGTCTAAGGGAAGATGAAGGGCGATAATGATGGCCTGTGCTCTTAAAGTTGTTATACGTTACAGTAAAGATTTAAAGAATTTTTCAACTGGATTCAAATTTGTCTGTCTTCTGTCACCCCAAATTTGGAGTCGTTTTACTAAACCACAGAAACTGCACCCAGTCGAGGACTGGCCTCAAAACTCAGTCATTTTCTGTCCTGTTCTGCGGCCTGGGATTATTTAAACCACCAAGTCCTGGAGCTGTTTTGGCCGAGTCTTCATTTGCAGCAGCATATGTATTCAGATCTGGAACACCAACATGTCTGAGTCCTAGCAAGTAAATTTTAAAGAGACAAAGCTTTTCACCATTGTTTTCCTACTCCAGGACTAATGTTTAAACTTTGAGATATTCCTGAAAAATACATACTTAGCACAGACTTTTGCGTGCAGTCAGTTTCTGGAAAACAAACCTCTCCCCCCAATATCATGTTACATGACAATTTAGTTTGATTATTATTTTGTAGGCGAAGCTTTCTCCCATGTAATCATCAAAGTCAAACAGTTTCTTGTGCCGTGTTGTGTCACCGTAAGAGATAAATGAACACAGGTTCTGAATCAGAGTCTTCAGAAGCTGGTGTAGGTTTTCTGCTGTCCTTCTCCGGCTTCAGCTCAAGCCTTTACATCGTGTCCTTTTCCTTCGGGCACATTGCCTCAGTGCAAGGAAACTTGTACCTTGAACTTCCCAAAATATTTCAGCGGTCATTAATTTAGAGGAGATACTTCACAGGAAGCTATTTATCGGTGTCTTTTTAATTTAAAGGTAAACATACCGTGACTTGTCTTTTTGTGCCTGTTAGGAGACTTGCACGGCCAGCTGGATGACTTGTTCCTCATATTTTATAAGGTAGGCACCGTACTTGGAGAGGGAGGCTGGGCAGGCATTGTGAGAGGTAGCGCATGGGTCACGCTGCGAAGTGGTTGCAAAACTGGGCCCTTCACGTGCGATTCTCCAGGTCAATTTGATCGGTTTTAAAAGGCTTCCCAAAGCAGCAGCTTATTCCCTTGCTGACTTTGAACGCTGATACACGTGTACATTTGGGAAGTGCCAGTGGACGTTTTTGTAAGTGCTGATACCAGTGGCAACCCTTCCTGACTGCCAGCTTTCACTTTTCAGTGCATTTGCCACTGGGAGCCTACAGGGTAAAGAGAAGAGTCGGGATCTGTTGTGTAAGGTGACCTGGGGCAGGAGTGCGAGACTGTGGAGCTGGGGGGGAGGTATGTGGAGATGACGGGGAGGCCTCTCTTGTAACATCCACCTGTTCCTTGTTTTTACAGAATGGCCTTCCTTCCCCTTCCAAGTCCTACGTGTTCAATGGGGACTTTGTAGACAGAGGCAAGCAGTCCCTCGAGATCCTCATCGTCCTCTTTACCTTCCTCTTGATCTATCCAAAGGAGGTTCATCTCAACCGCGGGAACCACGAGGACCACATGGTCAACTTACGGTACGGGTTCTGTGCAGGGCTGATCGCGATGTCGAGGGTGTCGCTGCGAAATCCCACTGAACTTCCTTTCTCCCGTTCCTTTAGCTACGGTTTCGCCAAGGAAGTAATGCAGAAATACAAGGTACGCATACGTTTGTGTCTCCTTTACCACGTGAGCTGTGGACTTTGAAGGCTTGATGCTTCATCTTTTCCTTCCTGACCTGTCCTCCTAGGTGCACGGGAAGAAAATCTTGAAGATGATTCAGAATGTCTTCTGCTGGCTGCCCCTGGCCACCCTGATTGATCAGAAAGTCCTCGTTATACACGGGGGCATCTCTGACACCACTGACCTGGACATGCTTGAGAAAATTCAAAGGAACAAAGTAGGTTTTATTTCCTAGATATTGTAAGAGACAGCAGTGTTGCTGATTTGTGGTGAGGAGCTTATTTCTACATGTCAACTTGGCTGTTCACAAGAGAAATCTATAGGATGGTCTTCCTAGACAAACTGTGGTTAGGTACAGGCTTGGAGTGGATTGCTTTGGTGTAATTGTGTGTGTCCAGGAGGTGCGAAGGGAAGAAATGTTCTTGGCTTCTGGAAGATGTAAGGGTCGTAGCCAGGGAAGAGGTGGGTAATGGCACGAGTGAAGAGGCGTGCTGGTGCTGACTAAAAACACGGTGATGACGAGACTTTGTCCCCCAGTTTCTTAGCTTGTTTTTCCCCTTAAATTTCCAGAAGGATTTTGATAAGTCATTTAACTAGTCTCTGCCTCGCTTTCTAGTTGAGAAATACTACTTCCCTTCTCCAAATGTAATGACGAGCACTTGCATTAGTCACTAGTCCTTCCCTCATGCTGCCGCCTAGTTCCCGTTGCAGATTAAATCCATGTACTCTACTTTTTGCGAAATGTCTGAGCAGCATAAAGTCAATGAAGAAAAGGTAAGTCTGTAGTCAGGATGGATGTGGGGCCCCAGCTGTAAACCAAGAATGGCACATCTGAGAGGACGGCACTAGTAATCTCCCACAATTAATCAGCGTTTGATGGCCGCAAAGGGAATTGAGGCTCGGAGGTTTGGGTCACTTGACAGTCTGCCAACGCAAGATGTTAGAGCTGGAGATGTAGGTTTCCAAGCGGTGTGACCATCTCTCTTGTCTCTCTTACTTCTTTCAGTTTATTTCTGTATTAAGAGGGAAGAAAAGAAAGGAGTCGAATAGAAATGTGGAAATACAGGAAATAAACGGGGAGAGCAAAGTAGAGGCTGACGCAGCAGGGAACGAGGCAGCCCCCAGTTTATCTCCGCAGCCCCGGCCGGCCCAGGCTCCCAGCATGGCCAACAGGCTGGAGTTCTCCAGGTGGGTCCGGCAGACGGTGCAGGAGCAAATCGAGTGGTGCCGCCGGCTGGTGGACATCAGCGAGTCGGAGGAGGAGGAGCTCACCTATTCCAGCGTGGTCTCCCTGACGGATCTGGACGGGCCGTGCTGGACTCGCCAGGAGGAGTGGAAGCAGGTGAGTAGTCTGAGCGGGGCCCTGAGCTCGGTGGGCTGTGGGTGCCTCCCACAGGTTTGCTCTCTGTTATGAGGAATCTCAGTACAAAATACGCGGGTCAATGCACCGACCGCTCTGGCAGAGAGATTTTTGCTGCTTTGTATCGTGGAGTTAAGGAGCAACTCAGCGTTGAAGCGCCAGCGGGCAAGCTACTGGGGTTTGTGCTGTTTTGTACCTACTGCTCTGTACCCCGAGACAGCCTGGTGTTGATCAGTGAGTGGTAAGTGGTCAGGAAGGGCTGTACTGGGAGCACGTGATCTCCGCTGCTTGGGGATGTTTCCGTAGATATCTGCGCTACATCCAGCCCATCCTGTGGCATGGTTCCCTAGCAACTGAAGAGCTGTGCCCGAGAGTCACGCAGGAGAAGGTAGGCTGTGTGCAAGACTGGTGCTAGCTGCCGTTCTGCTGGCGCCTTTCTCCTACCCTTACGAGTCAGCCGCTTCGCTGGGCTTTCGGCTTTCTGCGCTCAAGGCTCTGTCCCAGCGTTTGCCCCTACCACAGCATTCATCTGTTGCTGTATAAATAAAACTGCTGTTCAGGCATAGAGTGGGGCAACAGGTTTTCTTGATTCACTGCAGGGGAGAGAAATAATAGACAAGACTGATTGTAGAGCCCAGTGGTTTTATCGCTGTACTGTGTACGTGGGGTAGCCGAGGTCAGCTCTGTAGGTAATGAACGAGCACATCATTTGCCAATGAGCGAGTTGTGATCTTGGGTACTAAGAGCAGACTGAATTTGTGGTTTTAGCTGGGCTGCACTGCGAGTAGATTGCTAGGCAGGTCAGAGCCTGGGAACTTGGCTTCCTGTTTGTGTTAGACCAGTCTGTCTGTAAGCCCCTTCTGTGCGCTCTGAAACCATCGTTACTCACTTCACGTTACATATGACATCCCGGCATTGCACGCCTTATCAGCATAAAGCCATATATTGAGGTCAGGGTTAAAGAGCTTAAACTTTAATCCAAATAGTGGTTACTGAGTCAGCACTTAGTTACATTTCTGGAGGCTGCGGAACGTCCTGCCTAGAGAGCAAAGGATTTCAATACTAAGCCTGCTCACGGCCTCAGGATCTGCTGGGATTCAGAGATAGAGCTGTATTTGCTTACTCAACTTTGATGGGTGATATCTGCTGGGTTCACTTTATTCAGTGAACTTTTCCAACCCTTTCAGATTTTAGACATTCTCTGGAGTGACCCCATGCCTCAGGAGGGCTGCAGAGTAAATACGGTGCGAGGTGGCGGCTGCTACTTTGGGCCTGACGTGACAGGGAAGATCCTCGAGAAGTACAACCTGCAGTTCCTCATCCGCTCCCACGAGTGCAAGCAAGAGGGCTACGAGTTCTGTCACAACCGGAAGGTCGGTGAGGGGGACGGCGTGAAGGATACTTGGGTTTCTGTGGTGGCTTGTCTCAGCTCTGTGTTTCTTCCAAAGGGGCTTTAAGTACATACAAAATCGTTGAAGAGCCTTACTGGGAGTTACTGAAGTGTGTTCCCAGCTGAGGTCTTAGGTCGGGACAGTCTGGAGCCAACTACTCCGTTGGGGGCATCTGTCGTGCAGGCAAAGCACGTCCTTGTGCGTGGTACCCGAGAAAAGATCCGAACCCGTTTGTGCCATTGCCCCCGCTTAATGCGGCCGTTGCTGAAGATGACGTACAAAAGGGCGTTCCTAAGCTGCTGCAGCAAGAAAAGTTTTGCTCTCGGAAGACTCAGGGCCACTTCAGTGACTTCAACAGAGGCACTTTTGACTCCGCTCACTGCAATGGAGAGTGGATGTTTGTCAGGAGAGTACAGTGAAATCGCAGAAGCCCAGCGTGTGGGCAGATGCACGTGAGACCAGTGCCGCCCTCGAGGAACTCACACCTGTAAGGCTTCCAGGCCAGCCACCACCTCGCTCTTCCTTTTCCACATAAACCACGGTGCTTTCACAGGCTCTTGACTCCAGATGGGATCGGTTGTGTTGTTTTCACTGATACACGTATATATAACAGAGGATGCATGTGCTGACTGCAAATGCCTCTCTTTTTTGTGGGTTAGGTGCTGACCATATTTTCAGCCTCAAACTACTACGAGATTGGCAGCAACAGGGGAGCCTATGTGAAGCTCGGACCGGACCTCGTCCCCCATTTTGTTCAGTACCAAGCGAACAAGACAGCCCACACTCTCACTATGACCCAAAGGCAAGGCTTTCCAGTTGCTCTGTATTCACCAAGTCAAAATTGCGAAAGGGAAAACTTTGGGAGCTTTGAGAAAGTTTGATTGCGGAGCTGAACTTTCATAGCTTGATTTACTAAAGAACAGCGCTAGAGGAGGATTCAAGCTTTGTGCAGAAATTACTGAGGGAGGCTCAAGGGTTGAGGAGGGAGCGTTACAAGATCAGAAGGGAACTCTTTTTTACAGACTGATGATTTTCCAGCTTCTCTTTTCAATGTCAAGTTTTAACTTTTGACCCTTGCTGGGGTTCCCTTCTGCTTTGTTACTTCACAAATTGCTGCAGGGATTCACTGCATCAGCTGCGGGGAACAGTGCTCCAGGCATGCGGTGCCTTGTCACGAGCATTGAGATGCAGCGGTAGTTGTGCAGACCAGTTGTGTGAGGGCCTGGGCAATCCATGGACTGGGAAAGTGCAGCTCTTCTTGTGCTTCGTGGCAGGTCCTTAACGTGCTTCTCTCTTTTCCGCATCCTCCAGAATCAGCAGAGTAGAGGAGTCAGCCTTTCGAGCCTTGCGGGAAAAGCTCTTTGCTCACACCTCAGCCCTCATCAGCGCGTTCAAGGCCTACGATAAGGACGACACGGGTAAATCTGAGCCGAGGGACACTCGGGTTGATTCCCTGGTAGGACAAGGTTGAAGCAGCTAAGTTGAGCGTGTGGCTGGTTGGGAGGCTCCGCACTGATAGCTGTCAGTGACTGTCACAGGGGGAGGCTGTGTCAGACCTCGCCGCTGCGTTGGTCTCATTTGCTGTTATTCACTGTCTCTGTTGGGAACCTACTCATGCCTCAGAGTGGCATTATAATGACGGGGTGTCGGAGAAGCAAGAGGTGATGAGCCTGATGTGTAGCAATTTAGGCTTGGTACTAGGAGAACCCTTTGGAACAGGAGTATCGATGAAGCATTGGAAAAGATGAGCTGGAATGTGCCTGTCAAATGTCACTTGGGAGGGGCTGGGTGGTCTCCCCTTCATCCCTGGAGTCCAAAATCAGTGGGAAGAGGAAAGCGAGGGATATCCTCCGTGGCAGCTGCCTCTGTCAGAGCCCTAAGCAAGGAGCTGAGAGTTCATAATTCTCTGGCTGCCAGGAGCGCTCTGCTGGTGCAGCGACCGAGACGTGTTGCTGAGATCTGTCCGTTTGTGGGCCAGGGGAGAAAAGCGACGCAGCGGTTGCCAGAACTACTTTCTTGTGGGTAGAACTGCTTTCTTGCTTTCTTCCCTGGCAGCAAAATTGTTCACAAAAGTCCAGTTCGGCTGTTAGAGCAGCTGCTAAACTAGGGGCTTTTCCATGTTCCTGGGTCACTGAGGAAGTACTAGTGCAGTTGTGTAGGCCGTGATCTGCAGGGTGAGCCCGGCTGTAGGCTACGAATTTATAATGGAATATCCAAAGTTAGTGTCTTCCTGTTGTGCAGATGTTTGCAGCCCCACGGCCCCGATTTCTTGCGATCATCAAAAGCTTGCTGCGGCTGGGGGGAGCAGCGGGTGCACTTGGGCCTGCAGTGGCTTTTTACTTTGTCTTCACGTGCTTTCAGCTGCCCGTCTCTCAGACGTCTCCATGGCTCTCCCATTTCCTAACAGGAAGGATCACGCTGAGCAACTGGGCGACGGCAGTGGAGTCAGTCTTGCACCTGGGATTGCCCTGGCGAATGCTGAGACCGCAGCTGGTGCGCAGCACGGCGGACGGCATGCTGGAGTACAGGTCCTGGCTCGACGACTTGGCTGTGGAGCAGCGGAGCCAAGAGGTAAGGACTCGCCCCCTTCCGCCAAAGCATGATGCAAAGCAGCTCACAGGATCCCCGGCACGTCGAACTGAGTATGGTACAAAAGGAGAGCGGATGGTTCCGGTTCCTCTATAATCCAAAATCACACTGAGGTCGATGGGAAAGCTTGCATGAATTCAAGGAGTCCAGAGGCGTTCAGTCCATTGTAGAAATAGATGATGCATGTGAAATCAAAACTTAGAGGTAGTTTTGGATGCAGGCTTTTAAGTAGGAAAACTATATTCCATTCTCTGAGTTGCAGTTTCTTAATTACACCCAGCAAAACCAACTCTGCAACGGTTAAAAAACGTAGCCCAAGCCGCCGTCTTCTCTGTTTGGAAGCGATGGGTTGCTGATGTGCTATAATGCAGAGCTGCACGGAGGGTCCAGTCGTCGCAAACCTGTTTCATAAGTCACACACGATGCAACGTGCATTGCTGGCAAACTCTTGAGAGCAGTAAACACTTTTATTTATGGGAACATCTGGAGTAACTGCTCAGAGGAAGCAGAGAGCTGTCAGAAAGGGTAGAAGGAGTGTGACCATGTTGTCTTTCAGCACATCCAGTCGAGCTTGCTGGAGGTCATTTATCGAAACAGATCCAACTTGGAAACCATATTCAGGATCATAGACAGAGATCATTCAGGTAAGCAGGTGTGCAGGCGGTGTTGGTCATGGCATTGTATTCCATCCTACTTTTGGGCTCCCTTTAGTATGTGCAAAGGCAATTTTATTTCATGGTTTAAGGCTTGGGTCTTTCTCCTCCTTCAGCTGACGTTATTGTCTTCTGATATGTCGTTGCACGTTTCCACAAACATGACGCATTTTGGACTGTGTGCAGTTCAGGTAGAGGATTAATAATTATTTGTTCTGGAGGAGTTCAGAAGAACAAAAATTGTGATGAGAGCAATGACAGTAATGCAGCGTACTCTGGATCTTGAGAGCTACCTGCTTTCAAGCAGTCATCTCCACCAAATTACTTGGGGAAAGAGAAAATACAACAGTCTTTGCCTTCTTTTGCTCTCCCAAATTGTATTATGTCTCTTTACTGCTTTAAGTTGTATTTTAGCCAGTGCTCTCCATGCTAGGAAATTTAGTTGCAGCATGTGAAATGTAGATTATGAGCGATTTCTTTCCTTCCTTTAGGATATGCAGGCAGCAGGGTTGGGAGGAGAGATCAACTCTGAGCAGGGGTCCCTCCTTGCATGCTGAGCGGGGACTGACAGGCAGCAGTGCCCGTGGTGACCTCGCGCTGAGGTGGCTGTGCCTTCCTTCTCCACAGGTCTCATCTCATTTGAGGAATTCCACCAAACCTGGAAGCTCTTCAGCTCCCACATGAACATTGAACTCACGGATGACAGCATCAACGACTTAGTTCGCAGCATTGATTTCAATAAGGATGGAAACATCGACTTCAACGAGTTCCTAGAAGCCTTCCGCCTTGTCAAACAGTCACAGTAGCGAGAACCCGGGGAGGGTTGCCACGTCCAATGCCTTGACTGTCTGCAAAGGCAGGGGAACCGCTTCCTACCTAACTGCAGAGCGTGCCCGCAGATGCGAAGCAGGGAAAGGGAAGGCGGGTACCTGTAGCACTTTATTGGTTGAAAACAGCGACCGCCGTAGTGAACAGCTGTGATCCACTCGGGGAAGGTAACGGGTAAAATAGATAAGCTGCCCTTCGGTTCTGACCATTTTTAAAAAGGAGCTGTGTTTTAAGTAGAAATTCCTGCTCAAAGGGAAGATGCGACTTCGTTTCTCTAGTCAATGGACGCGATGAAATGTTACAAGTCTATTCGAGTGTAGTAAAATGGAAGTAAAGGTATTTCTTGTAGGCAGTGTTTTAACCAGGTAGTAACTGCTAGAGCACAGCTTTCCTTTTAATAAACAGTTTTTTCTAGATTGCTGGTTCTCGGATGTTCATGCCTTGTCTAGTTTGTCACCTCTGTTAGCAGCAGTGCTGTTACCTACTTCCCCTCTGTTGTTCCTTTGCTGTGCTAAGTTTGTCGGTACTAAATATCTGCAGTGGAGCAACACTTCCAAAAAAACTCTCTCAAACTTGCGAAACTGTCTCTAGCAGGGGAGCTTTTTAAAGAAATCTATTGAGACCAGTTCTTTTTCAAAGGCCATGGCAGTAGATCAAGCAGCCCCCCGCTAGTGTGCCTGTGCTGCATGTTCACGATACTTTGAAAACACGGTACAATTGCAGTTTAAAAAGGGGGGAGGGGGCTGAAGTGTTTGCCAAGAAAAAAACACCTATTTATCTTGAACATGCAGCATAGTCGCTCTGGCAGGAGTGCTATCGTAAAAGATTTAGACTGCTACCCTGGCCCTTGAAAAAGAGAATTCGAGTCTCATTCAATTTCTTAGAAGAGCCCCCGCTGGAGCCTGTATTGCACATTTGAGATACTTTATTAAATGGAACCGTGGTTCCAAAAATAAACTAATCCTTTTCCCCCTTAATTACAGTTCCACATAGGCTTTTTTCAACTCTAATGGAACCGTGCTTCCGAAAATAAACTCTCTCAAATGCATAATACAGGCTCTAGCATGCTGAGGCTGTATTTCTATTTTTCTGTCTTTACAATGTTATCAATGGCAATTTTCTTTTTGCGGCTAATGAACAATATGATTCTGTCTCTGCTGCGTTTGAGTTGTTTCTGCTGCACAAACACCTATCGCAGAGAATAATGTAGGTTTTTTGCAGTTATTTTCAGTGACTTTTGTTACAAGGGAAAAAAGGATACTTGGGGGGGGGCGGGGGGGCGGGAGAAAGCTCTCTCTCCAACGCAGGTGGTAGCCAGCTGCTTGGCAGTGCCTGGTACCAGGTAGGATCTAAGGGACTTGACCTTGTATTTTAGTTCGGGGACTGAGGCTGCCAAGCAGCTCGGTGGCATCGGGTTTGATAGCCTGTTACCTGCAGTGCCTGGAGGAGAGTGAAGTGCATTAACCTGGAGCTGGCAGCAGTTTCACTGCTTTGCTGATGTAGCTGAGAAAGAGCCAACACCGTGCACAAGTTACTACAAAGTCAGACTGAATTTATTACTCTCCAGCAATTAAAAAAAGGCAGAAGACAACATCTAGACATTCTGTTGTTATTGGAGGGGCAGCAAAGCTTTGTATAATTCACATAGGTAAAGTGATAAAAACATAACCTTCAGATCCTTGCAGTCCAAAGGAAGGACAGAAACTGGAAACATCAACTTCCTGCAGCTTGCCCCAGTAATCTACTGGTATTGCAGAGACCGACATAGTTACAGCAACATACATCTCTGTAATGATTTAAATTAGCTCTTTACATAATGATGTCACTCGATTGTTTTGACAAGAACATGGAAGCGGGCTAAGCTTTCCACAAACCAAGTCACGAGTGGAACAATTCCCTCGGCACTGCGTTTCCAGGACAATGCTTTTGTAAAAAAAGGAAAAAAAAAAAAAAAAAAAGAAAAAATGTACAATAGTACATATAGTTTTATAGTAAAACAGTATCTGAACAGATTCAGTTTTCCTTCTTTTATTAAAGCATATACAGCTTTATAAAATATAAACCTTCCAAAGGTCAAGTTCAAAAGCTTATAAGAGGCTTTGCTAATTCTAAAGGTAACAGCCAAAATACCATTGCTCCTAGAAGATACGTCTTTTATTTTACCTCAACAGTTTTAGCCTTGGAAGGTGAACCACGAACTCGAGTAACGTGTTCTGTGCAAGCCCAGCAGCATCCACCACGTCAACTGAAGACTCCTCCTCTGATGGGAATGCTCTCGTTCAGCCCATGTTCTATAAGTTTGATGTCCTCCAAGTCATCCTTTATAATGCTAATTAGGTGACTCAGGCCTTCTTGCTGCTGCTTCAGATGCTGCAAATAGTTTAAAAACCAGTATGAGCATAGTTCCGCCTCACAGATTTTAAGTAATATTTCTCAAAGGGGCCACGTCTGGTGGCCTTGGCACATTGAAAAGCCTGGCATAACATCTTTGGAAGAAGGAAAGCCAGCATTTTCTGCACTAATAGCGTAACCGCGTAAATCGGCTTTGCGCAACACCTTGATGCACTGTCGCTGAGAAAAATAAAAAGGACTTGATCATCAAACAAGTACAAAAACATGACGTTCTAGATCCATCCCCCAAGTCAGTGCCTAGCTGGCTTCAATTATGAAGTTCAAAGAGTATCCCAGCATTCTACCCAGTAATACTTACTTGCTTGATCTCCCTTAAGAGGTCTGCATCTATGTAATAGCGCTCTTCAGCCCGCACTGCTCCAAAGTGGTTTTGCATCCTGATTTGGGACATGAGCTCATTCAGTCTGCCCTGGGAAGAGAAACAGGCTTAAATCAAATGCAACCCATGTACATCCGTCAGAGCTCCAGCACGTACCGCTCCTCGCGTCACCAGGGCAGGAAGCATGGCCGCTCATTCCATTTTTAACTTTTTTTTTTTTGGAAGCCACGCAAAGGGTGAGCAATTCCAATACTTCTAAGAAATCAAAAATACTTAAATATCTATCAATTAGACATGCAGCAAAGAGCTTGACGCTACAACCTAGTAACACTGCTGGACTTCTCTTCTGAAAGCTTTCCACAACAGATATATACACGTGGTTTGGAAAACTCACATTCTTTTGTGAGAAGAAAACAGTTGTTGGCAAAGTTCTACTAACTAACTACTCACCTTGAACTGCGTAGGTGCGTTAAGTTCACACTGAATTGTATCTAACTGTACACGAAGCTGCTCTTCGTCCGCTTGAATGGCATAACCGCTTTTCCTTTGGATCTCCTGCTTTATTAACACCTACAAAGGAAGCCTTTGAGGTTCATTAGAGAAGACTTTGCCCGCCTCTTTCCCCACTAGCCCATCCACATGTCTTTCTGCCCTTCCTCTAGCATATGTCTCATCAGATTTGTTCTGTCATTTAGTCTGCTGCTGCAAGACCTTAGGGCAGTCCCACGGCTTCTAAGTGAGCGAGAAGGTTCCCAAAGCAGTAAGACATGCTGCGCACCTGAAGCTTTCCCTGACAGCTCTGCCTGTTACTTATAGCAATGCCATTTAGATGAAGTCAGAATTTAATTTTCAATGTTGGCCGTGCACAAGACTGCCCAGGTCATCCTGCCCCCTCTCAGTTATTTAGACTATCCATGTTACCTGTAACGTTCTGTGAGAAAGCGCCATCAGCTTCCTTTTGTACTGTGCAATTTTTGCCATAGTTGTCGTTTGGTTTTTCTGCAGCTCACTGATATCTTCTGATATTATCTGCAGAGGAGATGGAGTCAGTTGGAAGGCGTAAGAGTTTCTGTTAACAGAACGCATTAGTCCCGATTTGAAAGTGGGAGTTTCAAAACAGTACTCGGTCCAGCAACTTCGTGTCCTCGCCAAAGACGCTTTCAGAAAGCTTTTCGCTAGACCTCTACTGTTCTGGTTTCTATTTATTTTCATACCCAACTAGGATTTTCAGAAGGCATCAGAAAACGGGGTGCCCAAATCAGATTCCATGCCAGTGCAACTTAATTCACCTGGTTTGAATTAGAAAAGAAGAAAGCCCAAACATACCGCTCAGTTTTTGGCCAAAAGATAGAATTAAGGAATGTATTAAGGAATAGCGATAAAGAGTCACAGCCCCATGCACGGGGTTCCAGTTTCAGTTTTCTACACACAGGAGGCACGGGGGAGACTCATTTAATAGCACATCCCTTGTCAACAGCAAGCAGTCACAATAAAGATGAGAAACCTTACGTCTAATCGAGTTTGATGCTGTTTGGTCATCTGATCTTGGACCTTCAATCTTCTCAACAGTTCCTTGAAACCCACCATTGGCACAGGAATAAGCCTACAAGAATACAAATATTTCTTACGACATGTTTTTATATTAGACACGTGGTATAGATTAATAATTATGAATAGAATCCAAAGTTACAGATGATCTTGGCCTACTATAAATTAAGATAATACATAAAAATATCTTGTTTTGCTAAGTTCTACAGTCCTCGCTATTCCTAACAACCTGTTCCTTTTTCACAAAGAAATCAGCCCAAGTTATCTGTAACCACTGGAGGGTACAAGGGTACATCACTTTCAGCTGCAGGAATGAAGAGAAAAACGGTTGCAAAAAAAAAGTCACAATAACTAGTCCATATAATGGAGGACACCACAACTCTGAGTAATGCAAGTAAAGCTTTTTATCCTGACAACCCTTAGGCGCCTAAATGGGTAAAGGGATTAGACAGGCATTTCTAGTAATCCTCACTGCTTCAAATGAGATCAGCACTTGACCAAGTTATTCTCTAGTAAGTTTCTTACAAGTTACCTGAAGGGTACTACACAATATTATACATTTCTCCCCTTTCCAAGTCTTTTTGTAATACTCAGACAGACTATTAGACTTACTTGTCAGGATCAGGATTATCAACTTTGGCTTGTTCCCATATAATAGGATCAACACCTTAAAGAAACCAAACAAACAAGTTTTTACTATGGACAGATCTGAATAGATATCACATCCTACAGCTGTTAAGCAGGTAAAATGCTAGGAAATACAACACAAACCCTATGAACTATGCTAACCTGAACGACTGTTAGACTAATTAAGGTTTATTAAACAAGGGTAGTTCTTTAAAGTCTTGGTCCTG